AAATCCTGATTAATGGATTAAGTAAAGTGGGGGGCAGATCAGCAGTACTGCTAAACTATTTCCCTGCTGTTTTCTGGCGGTCTTTCAGTGTCTTAACAGAGCATCTGATGCTCTGCTTATTCATTCTCCATTGTTCAGTTTACTTTTGATTGGTTTCTTTTTTTTTTTTAAAACTAGGCATCCAGGCATATTAAAAAATAAAAAGATGGCTCCTCAACGCAGCCTTCCAGTATGATATCAAACTGTTCAAAGTTACTTCTTTGTCCCAGTTTTCTCAATCTAAAAATCTGAGTGAGTTAGTAAATCCATGCCAAAAAAGTGAGATACAAATCTGTTCCTCAAAAATGTATCAGGAGCTCATGAAAATCATTTGTCTGGTCCTAATGCTGTAATGGGAAACTTTAAAAAAAGCTGAAGCTATTCAGAAAGACCTGAAAAGTGTACTTCTGTAAAGTCATGGCTTCTGTCAGAACCTGAAATAAATAATAAAAGCCATGCAGCAGGTGGAAGCAGCCTGTGAAGTACAAATGCCCTCGGTCGAACAGGTACAGAGACAAGGCATTGAATAATTCAAAATAACCACCTTTGGTTGGAGTTAAACTCTAAGTGAATCAAGCTGGTTCAGCTGTGAGACAGGAGTGAGCAGATTACTGGTAGCTGGCATAAGGTTACTGGACACTTTCTAAAGAGGATACTATACAGCAGTTATTTTCAGCCTTTTCCAATTTAGAGACCCTTTCAGAGCAAACTTGGCTCAGATCTGCTGCTCCTTCATGGTTACTAGGAGCTGACTCGTCTAATGGACTGAAAGAACTGAGGAACAGATTAGAGCTGAGACAGTCCTGTGTACCTCATGCAAATGACAGAATAAGGAATGGGCTGTATTTCCTCTTGGTTTTAGCTCTGGAGAATTGAAGAACAGCAAACAGGTTCAGTAAAGCTGAGGTAAGCTGTTCTGACACTTTCAGGATATAGTTCCATATAAAATCCGTCGTGTATTTGGGTAACGGCTTCAGTTGTTACTATTGAATAGGATGTGCTTCCAGAAATAATTGTAATAAAAATACTAATATTTGCTTTATGAAGGAGGAATATTCACATGTATCCTTCCAGGATTTTTACTCTGGAATTTTTTGTACGGAGAATAAAAATAAATTGTAAAACTGTAAACAAAATTTATGTAAACACAACTTCTGCAATACATGTGATCCCTGCTTAAAAAAAAAAATGGGGCAAACAAGTTCCATTATCTTAAATTTAGGGTAGCTGTTCGTTACTAGTTTTCAGTTATGGAAAGTGCTAATTAAGTACTGAAAATTGACATAAATACAAGTTTTATTTGGAAAGAAAAGTCACTTATGACAGGCAGCTGAATTGTATTTGTGATTACACTTGAATGTGTCAACGATCTGTATCTTGCAGGAGAGATACTCAATGATTTTTTTTTTTCATCTTGTCATAGTAGATCTCTTAGTAGAGATCCGTTCAGGGATCTGATTATATAGCATCTGCTTCCTCAGCTGATAAAAACTGTGAATTAGTTTTATTTTCAAGGTTTTATACATTCATGATTCAGAGCAATTCCCATGTCAGCACGCTTTAATGTGGAAGGGCTAATTCATATCACAAGTGAGTGAGAAGAGGTGCCAGAAAGGCAGGAGGGAAAGCATCCACCGAGAATCACAGTGATTCGCAGAGAATTCTTCTTCCCGTATGAATAATAAACTCGTTTACATCATGACTGAATTGCGTGTGGCCTTGCAGTGTTGTCTTACCAATGTTTGTGTAAAACCTTGTTTCTAAGTGTTGCCCATCCCTGAAGAAAGAGTTCCAACATGATTAGTGATGTGTGAGCACATCTTTTCAGTAAGACAGTGCTGTTCTGTCACAAGTAAAAAGACCACCTATATGGTGAAGCACTCAAATGTTGCAGAAAGATTGTAGTCAGCTGATCCTGCTTTAGCAATAGCAGGATGTGTTTAAAGAAACTTCCTGTACTAAGAGAAGATGTTTCGTGGCAGAAACAATTGTGACTTTCAGCTGGTTTGATCAGGGTTCATTTCCCTTCTTTTTAGAAACTTAATGGAGCTGCTATAGTGAGAAGCTGTGCTTCTGGCAGAAACCTGTCTAAAGATGACAGCAAACTCTACCTAAAGGAGAGTCAGCCCAGTAACCCAGAGCTACCCACTGACAGACCTGCCTTCTTTCATTAGCTGTGTACAAAGGCTAGTGCAAGTAGGCTGACTAATTACGTGTCTGTAGCTAGATGTGATGAATCTGGGCGTGTGACTCAGTTTCTGATGGACAGGAGAAATTGCAGTGCTCTGTTAGGTGATAATCCTTAAAAAATTGCTTTATTTGCTGTTAGAAAGGTCTTCAGAGTTGGTGAGTTGACTTAAACTGGTTTTCAGCTTTGTGCTTTGATAGGGAATGAGCTCGTGGTTGTGGTGATTATAGTTCTTTGGTCAAATCTGTTGATATTAAAGATGCAAGACAACCATGAAAGATGTGTGAAGAAAATACTGCTTTAAATGCAAGTTTAATTTCTTACTCTCCCTTGAGAAGTCCTAGGATTATTTGAACGTATTCTACTCCCGGGTGGCTAGGTGCTCTTTCAGGACTGAATTAAGCCTGTGTGGACAAGTAACGTGTTGGTACTAATAACTGAGTGCTCACAAGGCCCTAGTTACTCTCTAAATCAAAGGAGAAGATCCTGAAGAAAGTTATAACATGAGTGGGGTGGTCAAGATGGAAACTTGCAAAGGTGATGTTGAAATAACGTTCTTAGTGGTATTGTATGATGCATAGGCACTTGCTTTCGTAAAGTATTGCATGAGAACTCAGCCTGCAGATTTTGAGTACAGCTGGTCGTTAATGTGTGACACCTAGCTTGTTGAAGTAGCAAAGCCATTGTCCTCTTTTCAGGTTTAATTTTCAGTTGCATCATTTAGTAAATGCAGTAACATGGATATAAAAATATGTATTTTTTTTCCACACTGAAAAAGGGTGAACAAAATATATGAATTACTCTTTTTAGGAGATTTACTGAAGTTTGGATTGCTATCTTGATACTATAAACCTGCAATAAGTGGCAATGTCAAGGGTTCCCACCCCAAGTAACATGAATATAAAAATATGTATTTTTTTTCACATTGAAAAAGGGTGAACAAAATATATGAATTACTCTTTTTAGGAGATTTACTGAAGTTTGGATTGCTATCTTGATACTATAAACCTGCAATAAGTGGCAATGTCAAGGGTTCCCACCCCACCTCCTCCTGGGGAGATGTCCAGTGGACCTGTGGCTGAAAGCTGGTGTTACACACAGGTAATCTACATAAATTCCAATGACTCTATTTTCTAGTCCCAATTATAATTTTAAAAAAGAACCAAACTAGAGTTACTGAGTTGGCTGACAGTGTAACTAGTTCTCATAGTTAATGCTTGATATGTAATTTAAATTTTATTGACATTTTCTAATCTTTTGTTCAGGTTAAAGTAGTAAAATTTTCCTACATGTGGACCATTAATAACTTCAGTTTTTGCCGAGAAGAAATGGGTGAAGTTTTAAAGAGTTCTACTTTTTCATCAGGGCCAAATGACAAAATGAAGTGGTAAGGTCTTTATTCTAGCAACTGCTTTGTTTTTTGTTTTCCACTTGCAAAAGTTGCAAAATTAAGTTGCAAATAAATATTAAAACTTGGACATTTCTTGTAGTTTTACTATAGGTATGGATTGGTTCTAATGTCAAAATTTCAACAGTCATAAGGGAAACAAATGTTTTGGTAGCATGTATCATTGTGTCTTATATATTTCTGAATTTATTCTGAGTACGACTTAAAAATGTACAATTTCTGCATTTCTTTCAGGTGCCTGAGGGTGAATCCAAAGGGATTAGATGATGAAAGCAAAGACTACCTGTCATTATATTTGCTTTTAGTCAGTTGTCCAAAAAGTGAAGTCAGAGCAAAATTCAAATTTTCCCTGCTGAATGCTAAAAGAGAAGAAACAAAAGCAATGGGTAAGGGAATCTTAATGTATTGCATGTGGATTTGTAAGAACATCCCAAAGAAAATCAGCATTGTAATTTTTTTCAATTGAGAACAGAACTTAATATTGAGATAAAATTTCAAATATCTTTTTTAATATCCTTTTAGAAACTTAATTAAAAGTCTTGTTCGTGTTTCATACACTTCTGATCACTGAGCTATGTTAATTCTATCCTGAGCTGTATAAATTACAGTGCATTACTAACTGCTGTCACTCCAGATTTTTGTCACTTAGCTTTTCTAGCAGATTATTCTTCCTTCCTTTTAATAGGGGTGTATTTGCTTGTTTCTAGCTACAGTGGAAGTAAGTGTTTGATTTCCATAGTTAATTAGGATAAACATGCATGGTTGTTTTTTCAGGAACTCCTTTACAATGTTTTGGTCTATTTCATCTGATTTACACTGTAATCGGTTTAAAAACATGAGTCATGTACCCAAGGAATTTGAAGACTTTGAAATAATTGGTGATTTGATGTAATTGCCTTCTTGATGTGAAAAATGTATGGCTCTTAGTTTTAAACTTACAAGCAGAACTTTCATTGGAAACACTTTTTGGGAAAGGTGGAATTCTCATGAAAAAGTGTAATTTAATGCTGGTCTGCACTGAGTTTGTGCTGTTACTAGTCCTCTATATGAAGAATCTGTCTACTTTTCTTCCCTCCTCCTACTCCAGGACCTAAGAGATCTCGCTAGGTCTGTTCTGTTGCAAGTTCTAACTTTCTTGGAAAAATCTATGGTTCTCCAGTACTCGTACCCAAAAGTTCATGCTGCTTTCTCTTTATGTAACTAGACCCACTTGTAATCTTTAAAGTAGATCCACAAAACTGAGTTCAAATCTAAAAATTAAACGGTTGGACTTTCTGGAAGGAAAGTAAATGTATATATTTCACTCTTTTTATCCTGTTCCACTGATAGAGTTGGTTGCTTCAGTCCCTGCAAGCCTTCTAGTTCTGGAGCTTATTTGAACAAAGCTGCACTTTTATACATCTGGTGGATCATGGCTTTTGGCTTGAGACAGTCCTTCCAGTCCAGTAGTGGATTGGTGTATGTAACTTAAAGGAAACTGCAGTGTGTGCATCAAAAAATACTTTGAGATAATCATAGAATCACAAATTGTTGAGGTTGCGAAGGACCTCTGGAGGTTGTCTAGTCCGAACTCCCTGCTTTCAGC